GTTATGGACACGTTATGGACACGTTATGGACACGTTATGGACACGTTATGGACTCGTTATGGACTCGTTATGGACGCGTTATGGACACGTTATGGAAACGTTATGGACACGTTATGGACACGTTATGGACACGTTATGGACACTTTATGGACACGTTATGGACACGTTATGGACTCGTTATGGACTCGTTATGGAAACGTTATGGACACGTTATGGACACGTTGTGAACACGTTATGGACACGTTATGGACTCGTTATGGACCCGTTATGGAGACATTATGGAGACGTTATGGAATCGTTACGAATTCGCTATGGACGCGTTATGGACACGTCTGGAACACATTATCGACTCGTCATGACTGACACACGTTATTGTCACGTTATGGACTCGTTATGTACATGTTATTGACTCGTTATGGAATCGTTATGGACTCGTTAAGGATTCCTTGCAAGGCAAAAAATTGGTGCCCAAAAATAGGCAAAATTTTGACGCCCTACTTCGAGGCGGTGAAGCTTCCAAAATTACGAACTTTGCGGAGAGAATAATTGACAGTGACGAACGGAGCAGCAAAACAAGCCTGAACTCCATTGTTCGGTCGTTAGTTCCGGGGCACGGAGATTTACGTGAAAAATATACAAATAAAATCTTGCAAATTTTACGACCGAAACAAGGATGTAACAACATTGAAACGAGATAGTAAAGGGTAAAAGATAAAAAGAAAAACCGAGCGAAGAAATGAGTTAGAAAGTGAAATTGAATTTGATTTAGAAATTAATTTGGCATAAATAATAAATACTTAGGTTCCATGCTACAGAGGTTGCAGTAAAGAAATAATAAATACTTAGGTTCCATGTTACAAAGGTTGTAGTAATATAAATTAAAGAAAAAAATTGGCAGCTGAAGCTGAGTAAAAACCTTAGACAATGGAGACCACGGGAAAGATGAGAGCACAAAAGACGAGAAAACGCGAGCAGAAAAGAAGATAACAGAAAACACCGATACATACAAAGACAGAGATTCGCCGATCCTAACAAACACGAGATTCAACGATCCAAACAACGACAAAAATTCGACGATCCGAACAAAGACAGAGATTCAAAGAGACGTCGTATCGCTGCTGCAGTTCTTTGTGCGTGCCACTGACAGTTACGGATGAATCTTGATCTGCAATCTGCTGCAGCTGCGGCGCAGCGATGCAGGATACTGATGCCGGCAGCTGTATGGCTGTGATGCCGGCAGCCGTACAGCAGTGATGCCGGCAGCTGTACAGCGGTGATGCCGGCAGCTGTACANTGGTTTCCTCGCATCGAGACAAAGTATGGCATTTAATAGCAAATTAATGAAAATTACGGATAAAAAATGTAAATAAAAAATAGGATTAAAAATTATTGGTAGGAAAGCTTATTAACTTGCAACGGTTTGGTCAAATATCCGCATTACCGAGAGACGTAAACCTTCGTTACCGAAAAAATTACTCGCACTGTTATAAGCAGAAAGAGACACTTTAGGCTCGGTGCCAAGCATTTTGTAGGGTTATATAGTTCCGTGATGTTACACTACAGGTAATGTGAACGAAGTTACATACGATCAATAGACTCGTGTAACTAAGCATCGGACGACGTTATATTCATTCATATTTATGAATTGGAATTATCCTCAACTTACTGGGAATCGTTAGTTAGTATTATCAATAAAAGTCTCAATATTATCAATATTGAGATTATATCAATTTTAGCTGGGAGCGAAAGACAATTACGATTGGCACACGAAAGTCCGTACGAGAAAAATTAGGAATTTAAAAAACATACTATTGAGAGAAAACTATAAAATATATATATTTTTTTGAGCTGGAAGTTCCTAAGGAATAAGAAGCAGGTAGAAGAAATACAGCATTGGGACTTGAAATACGAAGACGTCAGCTAGGCTGACGGGCGATCAGTCGCCGTAAGAACTGCTGACGCTGCGTCGTCCAACTCCACAGAGATCAGCCCGAACTTATGGAGACAACTGACGTCCAGCGTGGAGACAACTTAGTGGGACTGACACTTAGCCGGTAACAAGTTAGAGGGGCTGACACCCAGCCGGTAACAAGTTAGACGGGCTGACACTCAGCCGGTAACCACTTAGTGGGGCTGACACTCAGCCGGTAACAAGTTAGAGGGGCTGACACTCAGCCAGTGGCAACTTAGTGGGGCTGACACTCAGCCGGTGGCAACTTAGTGGGGCTGACACTCAGCCGGTAACAACTTAGTGGGGCTGACACTCAGCCGGTGGCAACTTAGTGGGGCTGACACTCAGCCGGTGGCAACTTAGTGGGGCTGACACTAAGCCGGTGGCAACTTAGTGGGGCTGACACTCAGCCGGTAACAAGTTAGACGGGCTGACACTCAGCCGGTAATTACTTAGTGGGACTGACACTCAGCCGGTAACAACTTAGGGGGGCTCACACTCAGCCGGTAACAACTCTGTTAAAAATAATTGTTCGCGAAAAAACTCGTGCTCTTGAAAAACCGCAACAACAAAAATTCTACTGTCATTTCGGTCCATAATTCTTTATGTTAATTAGTAAAAGAAATTCGATAAAGATTAATCATTAACTAATTTTTAAGGCATAATAAACGATGCAGAAAAAGGCAGGGTACTTGTCATGATGAACTAAAAGAAAAAGACAACAAAGAATATCTCCTGGAAAATTATGGAAAAAATTCAGATATATCAGCAATAAAATTCCAAATATAGTAAAATGTAGTTGAATGTAGCTATTCGTGCTGAATTTCAGATATATTATAAATAAATGTGCCGCATTTTGTATCGCTATTGACAGAAATTAACTGCACATCACAAACGTCATCAACGTTAATAATAAATGCTAATAACTGTGTGCTATTGTTAAAAAATATAACTCAGTACTCACTGCAGTGAGTGACAGAGAGCGCATTTTCTCGTCGACGAAAACGTGAAGTCACGGACGGACAGACAGACAGACGGACGGACGGACAATAGTGCATTTTTTCCATAAATGAGAAAATGCGCTAAAAATGAAAACCGAACATCTGTTAAGTTGTCCTGAATAAGACATTCTTCAATATTACCATATTACACACTGTAGAGCCATTTCCTACGGCCGTAAAGGATCAATAGCTCTTAAAAGTCCCAAGTTGGATATCTTAAAAGTCCCAAGTTGGATAACTTTTTAATGGCGTGAGTCGGTCTCTGGAATTGGTCAATAACTGAGAGATGGATGCCGGTGTTTCGCTGGCCAGAGACGCCGACGACTTGTCGACGGAAGAGAAATTTTGCCGAGTAGGCAGGTTTTGCGCGCGGCGAATTGCTGCAGACCAAGTGGAAATAGAGCATAATTTAGCTCTTTGTCAACGGATATATTAAGCGCCATCAATGTTATACGTACATAAAGGTTTGGGACCGAGGTATCCCACTCAGATGGAGAGAGCATAATTTAGCTCTTTGTCAACGGATATATTAAGTGCCATCAATGTTATACGTACATAAGGGTTTTGGACCGAGATGTCCCATTCAGTACATAAAGGGCTAAAATGGGTAGGTTTTGCGCGCCGCGAATTACTGTAGAAGAGTTGGAAGGCTAAGACCATTTAAAGTAGGCAAGTTCTTTAAGGGGGTGAATTGCGGCAGGCGAGAGGGAAGGAAGGAGGATTTAAAGTATGCAGGAATTGTGCATGGCGAATTTCAAAAGCCGAGGTTGAGGCAAAGGAGCATTTAAATTCAAGTTTTTGAGTTCTTAATGCACCATCGACCATTTCCAACCGAAGTAAGCCCTGACATTCAACTTGAAGAATTGAAAACATCAGAACACACAAGAGCTGGCCTTCAAATATCAATTATCGGCTTTCAGGTTGCGTAAGTTATTCTAATTGATCGATTACTGACAGTTATAAATGATCTAATATAGGCTCGTGCGTTTCAACCTTTTTTTAAATTAGGCAGGTTTTGCATGCGACGTATTGCTGCAGAAGTGGAGGTCAAGTATTTTTAGCGGAACCAGCCAAATTCGCATTCTGGAACATCATCACTGGTCTCAGAATTGCTGACATCGGGTAATTTATAGCAGGCAATGAGAGATTTATTTTAAAACACCGTAGTAACCAAAGACGTTGGATGGCACAGTTTGAACAATAAATGTGTCGTGTTATCCAACGATTTAAAACCTTCCGCCCGTTGAGTAGATTTGATCAAAACCCCGGTATTTTAGATCCGTGACTCGGCGACAGGCCTATCAAGGCCGGCCTATTCTTCAACGCCGAAGATACTATACTACTACTATACTAAATAATAATAAAATAACACGCTTTCTTACCCAAAACACAAGCTGAGAGCTGACGTAGCACTGATACGCCCTTTTTTGATTAGCTTAAGTGGGTAAGGATGACCCAAACAAGGCCCAGAAGTGCATTTTATATGAAAAAATTTTCACGCATTTCTTTGAGTTTGGATAGCATACAGAAATGTGTAGTCAGCTGAGGACGTTTTTAACACATCACACATCAGCTGAAACTTGGGAATGGATGATGCTGCAACTTAATTTTTGAATGAAAATGTTGCAGAAAATATGACGAACAAATGGGACTCTAGAAATGTGAGAGTTAAAGATGCAATAGTTGTTGCTACATATGAAATTTAAATGGCAATACCTAGGCATGCAGAAGTTTTTTTATTAAGCTCCATGGAGCTCTATCAATAGAGGCAGAATGTGAAAAATAAATTGAAGCATGAAGGAGAAAAATATGAAGCAAAACGAAAAGAAAAAAAGTGGAGAAGGTTGCATAAATTAAATGATACTTTTCTTATAGAGAGATTTATCGGATGAAATTGATGAGTCGTTGATCAATATTAAAATATTAGAATGAATGAGATAACGAATTTCTTTCTTGGAGGAGGGCAAAATGTAGATGTAAAAGAACATCATAACACTAAACAGATAAAAAAATATAACTCAGTACTCACTGCCGTGAGTGACAGAGAGCGCATTTTCTCGTCGACGAAAACTTGAGGACACGGACAGACGGACAGACAGACGGATAGACGGACGGACGGACATGGCGAGCACAATCGTGCATTTTTTCCATAAATGAGAAAATGAGCTAAAAATAGCAACGGGAGATAAACATAAAAGCAATTTAATGAATGAAATAACAGCTTTCTTACTTGGACGAGGATAAATCTAGATGGAAAAGATGATCAACATTAAAACAAATCAATGACAACATCTTCCTCACTTGGAAGAAGACAAGATAGCGATAAAAGAGAAAAAGGTAAAAATCAAAAATAAATAATCAATAAAATAAAAATGTTCTTCCTTGGATAATGACAAGACGAAGATTGAAAGAAAAATAAAAATAAACATCGACATTAATAAAATAAAATATTAATAATATTAATAATAAAATGAATTAAATAACTTTCTTACTGTGATGAGGACAAGATGGATATGGAAGAGAAGAAGTATGGGACGGAGAAGTCGATGAGTTTGGCCCGCGCAGAAGTGATGGACAAAGGAGCGAAGGACACGTGGGCGGCCCCGCGGATGAGGTCCCCAACCACGCCTGTCCATCGGCCTGACCGCGGCTGTCCGAACTGTCCATCTGCCACCAAGTACGGCTGCAGGAGGACACACGTCAATGTTATTGCGAAAGTTGTCGAAGGTCAAACTTTGGTGGACATTTCTCGTCCGTCATGGACAGCGAATTAATCGGTAACTATATAATACAATAACAGCAACAATAAATAAAATACTTAAAAAACCTTTTTAAAAAAACCACGTTTTTCTTGTGGACTAAAAAGTAGAAAATAAATTATGGCTCGCCCCAAAAAACGTGTGTCGGGCAGATTTGTGAGTTAAAGCGAAAAGCACACAACACACGAATTTTGGAAATTTGATGGTGAACGTACAGCCCGACCCACGTTTTTTGGGGCGAGCCATAATTTATTTTCTACTTTTTAATCCACAAGAAAAACATGGTTTTTTTAAAAAGTTTTTTATAAGTATTTTATTTTCTCCTTTTTAGTCTGTTAGTATTTCAGTTGGCCACACAAATGAACGAAAGAAAATTCTTTTCGAAGTTCTGTAGAAAATTGTATTCCGACTATTCGAGGGGATACATTGTTGTTCCCGTATTCATCTCTACATTACATCCCGTATTTATTACATTTAATTGAATAAATACGCCTAAAATGTCCAACAAATTATTGATTATTGTATTGTTTTCGGGAGCTGAGCTTCCTTAAAAGTTTCAGAGCGCTAGCTAGCGGGAAAGTTGGTGAAATATCGATTGCAAGATTTGATCATCACAGACGGACAGAAAGACACGAAAGCGAGCTAAGAAAAACGTGGTAAAAAAACGAAGAAACTTTACAGAAGAAAGAACGAAGTGACCGATCACCAACATAATAATTGCCGAAATAATGAAGATTATATTAATTTTAAACTACATTTTAGTAGTTTCTTTAGTTTAGATTATTATTAGTATTATTAGTTTATTTTATTCATTAATTTAGTACATATTTTTATTATATTAGTTTATTTGGTGTAGACACTCATAGAGATGTTATTTCGAACCGGCAATGCACTATTCACATACAGAATAACGTGGAACTCTTTTCAATTACATGAAATGACTGAATACTCAAGAGCAATAGACTATATAGGCACTCTTACCTTCAGACTAACGACTAGTTAGTCTGCACCAGACTCAATAGTTGTCTTGCTGACCAACGTAGAGATTTTTTTTCACTCCATGTAATAACTAAATTATCCCGAACACCAAACTAGGCACTTTTACCTGCAGACTAACGTGGAGGTCTGTAGCCACCCTCAACATGAGGTCTATAGCCAGACCATAACAACAGCGCAGACCTCCTGTGCTGTTGTTGTTGTTACTGTCATTCACTTCCTGGTGAAAAGAATAACTCAATCAGCAGCATTGAAACGAACTTGAGAAAAATTGTTTAAGAGTGTAATCCTAGATTTAATACATGATTACCATCTCTGAATGATCGAAAAAAATTCTCTGACCACTGGAATATTTTGGGACTGGCCGGTCGTCGCCAAAACACTCCTATCTTCAAGAATTAACCTTCACCCTAACGGACGTTTTCTACAAATTCATCACCATGATTATAGTTGTACGAGCTTTCAACCTTCAAACACCAGCAATCCGATGTTTTCCTGTTTCGATCTTGATGTTTCCATGCTCATAACACAGTGAAATTTTGAATATAACATAAATATACATAAATAATATAACAATAAATATAACATATATATGACATCCATCTGAAAGCGAGTGTTACGACGCAACGAAGAGTTGTCCGGTATCGAAGATAATGTCGATTGCTCGATGAGTAGAAAAACGTATCTGAGCGCGAAGAATGTAGCCTTACATCGTAAAAAAGCAAACGTGACGACGTCGTTCTTCCTTACATTTAAAGAAGCACCAATACAAAATAATAGCTTAATAATGCTCGCCAAGCTCGGAAAATCAGAATTTGCCATCAGGACTTGAATTACGCTAGTGCAACACAGTTCCAGGAAAAATCTTTTCCGTGTTAGGTTATTACTTTAACTACAATTAAATAAGAGTCAAGAAAAACTCTTGCCGAGTTCTGAAAATCAGACTATAGGGTCAGGGTTTTAATCAGACTCTTATTTTGCTCGTACAACCAGAAAGTAAAACGGACATAGAGCCACTAATTTACGCGCTGAGCGAGCTAGAGGCGTCTTTAATTCAGAAGCTAACCATATTCAAATTTTTGATAGGGTATAAGCGCAACGGTGACCTCCGAACCGCTTTCAAGTTCAGCGATAAACAAACTAACCGAACCTTTACCGAGCAGGGCAGTGAGATTGGTATCTTCAACATTTTTTGATAAACAAGGCACTAAGGATAATTATAATGCGGAATAAAGATGAAAATAAGAACCCAGCGATTGGCTCGCACTTAACTAAACGGTCGAGATAAACGACAGGCTCTGAAAACAAAGAAAACAAACCGAACATTTGTACTTGAATTGATTTTTTCTTACCAGTATCATCGCAGATAAATCATAAATATTACAATAAAAATTTATAAATATTACAAAAACACTAGTAAGAAAAGTTACAACAGCAGTGAAGCGCAATGTGCTTCACAGCAACGTATTAAAGAGTGGCTAGCTCCGACCGGTCTGTGTGAAGAGACTTTTCTTAAAAAAAATTCGTGTAAAAACAAAAGAGCATTAATTACATTAATGACATATAACGACACAAAAATAAAAGGAATAAATGTTGTCGACTACGAAATAAAAGTATCGAAATTGCGTTACAAAAATAACGTCGCGTGAAGGGCAGCTACAACAAGTATAACTCAGCGCAACGGGAAAATCTCATCAAGGCACGACAATCGGGACTAAAAAACTGGGTTTTCTCAACGAGTTCTGCGCTCAGATTTGAGATGTGATCGAGTGACCAGGTCTTAAACTTCATGCTGCTCTATTGCGCGCCGCTGACACTAAGCTCAACTTGCGATGTTATGGCTTTCTTAAAGTACACCTAGAAATGGGAGTATTTACAGCAATAAATTGAGGATCTCGAGAGCTTTGGAAAGTGGAACAATGAATGAGTAGGAGACTGAGTGGGCTGAGGGAGTGAGCTAGAAGTTGGCAGATAAAAATAGTGAAAGAATGAGTTACGAAAATATAGGAGTGGGAGCCAAAAGTTGGTAGAAAAAATAGTGAAAGATTGAGTTACGAAAAGTAGGAGAGTGAGTAAGAAGTTGGTAGATGAAAATAGTGAAAGATTGAGTTACGAAAATGTAGGAGTGGGAGCCAGAAGTTGGTAGAAAAAAATAGTGAAAGATTGAGTTACGAAAATGTAGGAGTGGGAGCCAGAAATTTGTAGAAAAAATAGTGAAAGATTGAGTTACGAAAATGTAGGAGTGGGATGCACCAAAACTTCAGGTATGATTTATTTTTGGAAGACCAAACGAAACTTTTTCTGGCAAAAGGTTAATTGAAAACAAAGAGGCCAGACGCATATAAAAATGCACCGCAAGCTGAGAGCACAAATTTTCCTTTCCCATACTTTGAATTTATCGACAATATCAATATTTAAATATCTACATCAGGACGGAGATATATAAGTTCGATTTAGCATAACAATACAACAAAAAGCGATGTTATGGCTTTCTTAAAGTACACCTAGAAATGGGAGTATTTACGGCAATAAATTGAGGATCTCGAGAGCTTTGGAAAGTGGAACAATGAACGAGTGGGAGGCTGAGTTTAGAGAGGGAGTGAGTGGAAGCCAGTAGTTGGTAGAAGAAAAGAGCGAAAGATTGAGTTACGAAAATGAATGAATGGGAAGCTGAGTTTGGAGAGGGAGTGAGTGGAAGCCAGTAGTTGGTAGAAGAAAAGAGTGAAAGATTGAGTTACCAAAATGTAAGAGTGGGAGGCACAGGTTCAGAAAAGCAAGTGAGTGGTAGAGTGGGAGAAGGAAATGAGTGGAAGGATGAAGTCGATGGAAGGAGTGTATTCGTTGAATATATTTATTCAGTATGAAACATCGTCATATTTGATTTAAGAAGATTTCGTTTTCCAACTCGAAACTGTATGGCCGTATTGATTCAAGAATTAAAAATAACAGCGCTTAATTATAGCTGCAGTCCATATGGTCATAATAAGAAAAGATTCTTAAGAAGGAAAATTTAATAATTAATTAAGAAATTTTTCGCTCGGATTGTAAATATTTACACGAGAAACAACGACTTCATAATAAATTTAAGAGAGGCAAAAAAAGACAATGCAAGTAAATTGCTTTAATCAGGAAGCGAGTAATTAATGGGACCGCATTTTGAAAATTTTTGACGAGGGAAAAAATATGATGAGATTAAAATTTCAACATGACTGAAAACCGGGCGAAAAAAATGGACCAAAATTTCAGGTATGACTTTTTTCGGATGACCAAACGAAACTTTTTCTGGCAAATGGTTAATGAAAAACAACGAGACAGGACGTATATAAAATGCGCTGCATGCTCAAAACACCTCTTTTCCGTTCCCATACATTGCATTTATTTCAGGACGTCGATATTGAAAAGTTCGAACTAGCTTAACAATACAATGAAGACTATCAATAACAACAATGAAAAAAATTAAAAACTTGAGATGAGTTTTCCCCATAAAAAAAAGACAATGACAGCAATAAAAATTGATACATAATAAAAAAATTTAATTCATAATAAAAAATTAAAATAAAACAGAGCTTTTAAATTTATAAAACAAATAAGATTGGGACTCGGCCTTTGTTATCTAGAGGATGAATGGCCTGGCCTAGATCACTCCCGGATCTCACCAGATCAAAGCTGTCCTGCAAGATCTATGGCCAAGTGATCCTTTAGACGCGATCTATAGAAGTGAGCAAGATCTTTCTAGAGCGAAAGACATGAGCAATCGAAGTGAGCAAGATCTTTCCAGAGCGAAAGACATGAGCAATCGAAGTACTTAAAATCCTTCCAGAGCGAAAGACATGAGCGATCGAAGTGAGCAAAATCTTTCCAGAGCGAAAGACATGAGCGATCGAAGTGAGCAAGATCTTTCCAGAGCGAAAGACATGAGCGATCGAAGTGAGCAAGATCTTTCAAGAGCGAAAGACATGAGCGATCGAATTGAGCAAGATCTTTCAAGAGCGGAAGACATGAGCGCTCGAATTGAGCAAGATCTTTCCAGAGCGAAAGACATGAGCGATCGAATTGAGCAAAATCTTTCCAGAGCGGAAGACATGAGCGCTCGAATTGAGCAAAATCTTTCCAGAGCGAAAGACATGAGCGCTCGAAGTGAGCAAGATCTTTCCAGCACGAGAAAATCGAAACTCTTTGGGGAAATTGTTGATCAAGTTTTTGTACTGACTTTGCCCGGAATTTAAATCGAGGAAAATTGTCATGACATCGTGTTTTATACCTGTAGTTATGCCTTCGAAGGGCCTAAAGTTTTCAAGTTCAACTATATCTCTTGTAAAAATTTATAGGTAAATATAAAGTAGCTTCAGAAATGAAAACTAAACCCCTGCAGTAATGTTACTTCAATGTTCTGGACTTCATCGAAGTGAAACTTTACTGTGTTTAGATGAGCTTTTTGTTAGCTAAAATGCTAACAAGAATTTTTTCCATCAACGATTGAATGTAATAGACTAAAAATTTACTCTTGGTTCGTTTTTATTTGGGATGAATTCAAGTTCAAAGAAATTTAAATTCGCAAAGAATTTTTTTCTAACTTCGGACATTTTGAGGCAAAATTTCCCGAGACCAAGACGAGTTTCTTTTAAAAATGCAAGTAGCGCTGGCTTTCGATGTCAGCGGTAGACGTGCAACGCAATAACGTCAACGTAGCCGTAATGGAGAAAACATCCTCAACGTTATACTTCAGACGCATAATGTCAAGGAAGACGTATAATAAAAAGGTATGCTCAATGTTATAGTTCTGATGCAATAATGTCAACGAAGGCGTATCATAAAAAGTTATCATCAATGTTATAAGAACCAATATAACTGTATTTTATTTCCCAGGAATTTTTATCAACCAGGAATTTAAAAAAGAAAAAAATTTTCACACAAATTCAAACGCACAATTGAGAGGCCTTCAAAATATCACCGATTTTTTTGAAGGCAGACTCTGGTATTGTGGCATAAATTTTACGAAATCTTTCAGAGAAATTAAGAATTAAAATTTAATTTAATATTTATGTCAAGCCCACTATTTCCATGAAATTGAAGATTTATATTGAATAGAGTAAAATATCAATCGAAGTCTGTAATTAAGATCAATCAAGTATACATATTCATAAAAAATTGTTTTCTATTCTAGTAGAAAAAATTTCAATGTTCACTGGGCACCTGCTAAAAAATTCAATTACCTTTAGGGCGAATTAAGTTAATTCACTTGCAATTAACATTATATGTGATCATTAAATTTTATGATAAGTATGAATAGTGACGGTCCCGACAATAACAGTCGCAACACACAAAAATCCCCATTCCCCAATCACACATCAATCATCCAACAATCACCCCCTTGAATCACCCACTAGTAACCTCTCCATCCCCATAAGTCTCTCTAATCACTCAATCACACAATCACTGGTCAATCGCCCGTCAATCACCCACCATTCACCCACCAGTCACCAGAGCTGGGCAGCGCTACTTTGAAATGTAGCGGCACTACCGCTACCGCTACACCCGCTAGATTGTAGCGAGCACTACCGCTACCGCTACAGTAAAATGTAGCGCCGCTACATTTGCCGCTACAATGGCCAAAATTATTGGAAATCTCTAAATATTTATTGTTCTGCTATTGGGATTTACTCATAAACATTTAATGATAATAAAACATTTTCAAAACATATCAATGCAACTTTATTGCAATTAACCTAACCGAACTAGTACGGGTTAGATACAGTAAATAAAAGGTACAGTTATGTTTTATCTTCCCTACATGGTTGTGTACTTTAATCTACCAATGTTTTACCTTCCCTCCATGGATGTGTACTTTAATCTACCAATGTTTTACCTTCCCTCCATGGATGTGTACTTTAATCTACCAGTCTAAAAATTATTCACATATACATATAAAAAATCAGTCTTTTATTTGTATATATATGTGTATTATTTTTGAGATTGGTAGATTACAGTAGACATCCATGTAGGAAATGTGAAACATAGAAATAACTGTGTAAAAATAACTAAAATAACTAAGCAAACTGAAACGTGAAAAAATACCTGTAAGTGGTACCTGGTAACAATATAACAAGTAAAAACTAACATGTTGACACTAGAAACAGGCTGAGGTTGACAACATTACACCGAAATCTTTCGTACAGCTTTATTCTGTAATAGACATGCTGGTTTTCAAATAATATTTAATACTATTAAGTAAAATATAATGGTTTTATCTATAAATTCAGCGGTAGCGCTGTAGCGGCAAAACCTCCTATCACTACTTAAATGTGTAGCGGGCGCTACCGCTACCGCTACAATGCCTTAAATATAGCGCCGCTACCGCTACATGCAGCGCGCTACTGCCCACATCTGCCAGTCACCCACCAATTACCCACCAATCACCAATAACTCGCCCATATCCCACCCTTAGAACACCAATCACCCACTAACCCTCACCGATCCCAAACAGAAACCCCACCAATCTACCACCAATAACCCGCCAATAACCCACCAATTACCAACCAATAACCCACTAATAACCCACCAATTACCCACAAATTACCCACCAATAACCCATCAATAACCCACCAATTACCCATCAATAACCCACCAATAACCCACCATTAACCCACCGATAACCCGCCAATAACCCACCTGGACGCAGAAGACGCCTACGTTGCAGCTGCCGTCCTCCAGCAGAGGGGACGACATCACGAAGGGCGGGGCGAGGGCGAGGGCAACCCGCCAGTGCTTGTACTCACCCACCGCCCTCACCGCCCCACCAGCCCACTGCATCCCCTCGTGCTGCTCTACCTGAGGGTCGAGGGAAGGGTTAGTTTCCCCTCACTCTGCTCAACCTGAGGGGTAAGGGAAGGGTAAGTTTCCCCTCATGCTGCTCTACCTGAGGGGTGAGGGAAGGGTTAGTTTCCTCTCACGCTGCCCTACCTGAGGGGTGAGGGAAGGGTTAGTTCCCCTCACGCTGCTCTACCTGAGGGGTGAGGGAAGGGTTAGTTAAATTTACCTGGAGCTGTGGCGTGACATGCCACACATCGCGCCACTGTGGCGTGGCATGTGGCGAGTATCGTACGAGGTTCTGCACCACGAGCCACGGTCTCAGGACGCCACTGTGGCGACCACGCTTGTGAGCTCGTGTGGCCAGCAACCTGCGCAAGAGCCACACAAAAATTCAACCTCAGTGCGCAGCTTCGATTCTGTTGCGAAGTGAAGCAAAAAACTCATGACATTATCAATAAAAATCATTAATTGAATTGTCATTAAATTATGATCCTATGTATAATTAATTATAAATAAATTATAAATAACAAATAAATTCTGATCCTTATGTATATGATCATTAATACGTGTATATATTTCGCAAATCAGGCTTCTATATTAGAATTAACTGTTATTTCATTCGGTACTTAAAATGAATAGAAATATTGTGGACCAGAATCCCAAATTAAAAGCGTTCATATTCTTTGTATATGCAGGCACAACATTCATTTATGTTATATGATGTATAATGAAACAGAAATGAAATGTTCACGCAACAACTGTATGAACGTTTCGTTGAAAAAAAATTATATACACAATCTTATACCTGGTATATGACATAACAAACGATTGATTGTCTCTATATCAATTCCAGGGTTTAAAGTGGAACTAAAGATATAAAATTAATTTTAAAACTTCCAACTCGACGCCTATCAGCTTGTAAATAAGAAACAACATAAAGATTTAGTTCAAGTTGCATATTTAAATATTACAGCAAAGTTGAAAAATCGAGGTGTGATAAAGCCGACATTAAAATAAAAGTTAGTCTAGCCCCAAAGTGTGGCCTTATTAACGTCTTGAATATGAGGCCACTTTAGTGAAACTTGTTAAACAAACGCGCCTTTATTTCGCCGAGGGTGAAAGTTTAAAGTTTCTAAGTCACTTGCAGGAATAAAATTAAATGAAGTGTGCACCCTTCGGGGTTCTATGGGCTCGTTAGAGTATATTTAATTTATAGAAGTGAATATATAAATAATATTTAGTGCACAGATTAAACGTATGTAGAATAATATATGTACAACTGATCTGCGTAAAGGGCATCGAATGTCACCGAAAAGCAAGATAATAAATAAACGTGTACATGAATTGTTGCATCAGAGCTCCATTAGTTTATTGAGATGACCAAGTTAATTTTACACAAGGAATCAGGGCCGGTTTTTAGCCGGCCAACCATGATACATCCAGTATCCACTAGAATATTCGATATTTACAGGAGTTGATTATAGCAGTCTAGCTTTAAAGTGCCATCTACATGACCTAACTAACGCAATTGTACTAAACTTCACTGCAGACTAACTTTTAAAAACCAAAATAAATAAGATTTGAATAAAAGCAAACTTTAACTTTGCGGATCGCTTACTGAAAAACAGAGCTCGTTTTGCATACGTTATTATAGTGTTTCTTTGACTTAATGAAGCAGAGACGAGTTTTTATGTTAAAAAGAAATTTGTGAATTCAATATACCACAAATATTGTCTTCCTGCAACACGGAGACATAGCTTACCTACAACGTACGACGCGTTTCTCATTTGTTCCAAACACAAGCTTATTGTTTAGTAAACATATCAAGGTCTGCTAACACGGCCGTATCATTAGCTGTGTAATGTATATGCAACGTCAGGTAGGCTTTCTTTGAAACAACAATCATAATTCAATCATGATTCACTTGCCATGTGCTGCCATACAATACTTGCAAATAACCAAGATTGGTAATATCGTTTTTCAGACAGCGGTCGTAAATGTCAGCCATTGAAATGCAACATGTGAAGACTAGGAAACCAAAGGACTTACAAAGCCGGGCCCACAATTTTATAATGCTATACTACGATTCCAATGCTATACTACAATTCCGATGCTATACTACAATTCCGATGCTATACTACAATTTATACTAAAGTTTTCGATGCTATACTACAATTTCGATCCCAAAAATATCCTATGTTATACCACGATTCCGAGCCCAAAAACTTCCTATGCTATACTATGATTCAATGCAAGCCCACAAATATCCTATGCCATACTATGATCCCAGGCCAAAAAATATTCTTCGCTATACAATGACTCCAAGCTCAAAAACATCCTCTGCTATACTACGATTCCAAGCCCAAAAATATTCTATGCTATACTACGATTCCAACCCCCAAAAATATCCCATGCTATACTATGATACCAAGCCCCAAAATATTTTCTGCTATACTACGATTCCAAGCTAAAAATATCCTATGCTATGCCACGATTCCGAACACCAAAAATATCCTCTGTTAAACTAGGATTTCAAGATAAATAATATTCTTTGCCATTCTACGCTTTCAAGCCCAAAAAAATATCATATGCTATTTCACTATTCTGAGCCTAAAAATTTTTTACGCTCTAGCATGATCTCCCTCAGGTATCCTAATTTGAACATTTTTTGACGCAGAAAGAAAAACTGCGCTGAATAAAATCAAGAAATTCAGAAATATAATGCACTGAATAATAATAAATAAGTGAGTAATACAATGATTAACGTAACAAGCCTCAATAGTGTGACGATCCGTATAATCTAATATGTAAAAAAATAGCACCGTTCTGAATAGTACGAGTTGAATAATGTAATTTTTCAAATAATATAATGTACAGTGTATTATTATATAAGTGTATAACGTGTACGCAATAAAGAATGACCTAATCGGATAATGCATTGAATTTATCAGGTACGAAATAGCACGAGTTTCCAAATAAAATATCAAAAAAATTATGATGAGTAAATTACAGCGCGTTAATATTTAAGCACATTAATAATTAAATCAAATTGAAAATACTCACTCAACAAGCAGTTGCGTCTTGAGTTTGTCCAGCTCAGAGCGCTGACCCGCAGCCAGTACGAATTTACCCTCCGTTTCATATGAAGGAATTTGGCACGTGTCTGAGAACGTGTCTATAAAATCTGTAGATTTTCGTCGTCTTGGAATGTGCCGAAATTTTGCGGTTTTGCTTAAAATTTCGTGAGAATTTTCTTGAATTTTTGTATCGTTTATCAAGGGAGAAGGAACAGGTAAGTGCTGTGTTTTAAATTCAGAAATAGGCTGAGCCGAAAGAAATGTTCTGATCGAGTCGTCTATTACACCGGATGTGTATTGGTGAGTTAGATAGTCGAGCATCGAAGCGTCAAGGCTTTCTGAAGAAACGTAACGTTGTTTGGTAAATATTTCGTCTTCAACATTTCGCTTGAGCAACGGCGCGCGGTAGTTCCTCGACTGCCTCTGAATCTGGCGTAGATTGAAAGGTGCGGACTCTTGGGACACCGTTGCACTTTCCAGACTACCGACCGAGACGTTATAGGAAGAAAATGTAGGGGTCACAGTAGGATAAGTTTCCGCTGTGTCGTTGTATGAATTAAGAAGAGAATTGTTCTTATCGGAACTTCTAAAATCGACTTCTTTTTGAATCGGATTCTCGTTGTCAACTTGGAAGGCACTAGCTGTGTGGTTGATTTTTAAAACCGCGTTTGGAGCATTATTTTCTGTAGTTTCAGTTTCAGACACAATATTGCTTCCTATCTTTTCAGAAAATGAATTTTCAGCATAAGTTATTTCATCCTTACGAATCTTTTCTTCAGTATCATCGATTTCAACTTTCAATGCTCCATCAGAGTCTTGATTTTCTAGACCGCCGCTTATACCAATACTTGTCTCATATATGTCATGGTTACCTGCTAAAGAACTTATTTCATCCGTGTGATCAATGTTACTAGGTTTTCCGTTTGCAATACCAATGCCGGAAAGGGGAGTCATGGGTTCGCTGTCTGTACTGGTTCTACCCATTTGATCTGGGGACGCATTCTTAGGGCCTGGAATTCCAATCATGTTGGGAGCTTGAAACTCTCCAGTACTCTCTTCTTCGTCGCCGAAACTGGTAAAAATTTCGTTCTTCGGTTCTATATTTTCAAAATTGACGACTTTTTGGTTGTAAAATTTCTGCCGATCCCTATCAAAGCCTTGCAAGTCCTCGAGTCTTTGTCTTTCAATCCGTTCTTCTTCGAGACGTTCCATACGCTGTCGCTCCAATCGATCATTTTCCAAAAGATCGATTCTCTCCTGCTGTAAACGTTCAATTTCGTACAGCTTCTGCAGTCGTTCATTCTCCAAAACCTTTTGCTTTTCGCGATCCTGCCTCTGTCGTTCCAGCTGTTCTAGCCTTTCTCGCTCCAATCGATCTATTTCGTTCTGTTTCTGCAATCTTTCTTTTTCCAGTAACTCCTGTTCTTCCTGTCTTAGACGTTCATTTTCTAATTGCTCTAACCTGTCGCGTTCCAACTGTTCATGAATATCTTTGTCCAGTCGTTCACGTTCCAGTTCTTGGAGTCTTTCTTGCTCGCGTTCCGAGTCTTCGACACGCTCAAGATGTCTTATTTTATCTTCAATTAGGCTCTGGAGCTTCACGACCTCCGTGAAAACCCTCAGAGAATCCTTCAGGAAAGTGGCACGAGTCCTACTGTCTTCTGTAGGCTTCAGCGACTTCAGATGAAGATTAATGAGGCCAACAGGTAAAGGCAAAATAGAGTCGCCTCCAGTGTTGCCTCTTCGAAAGTTGAAGTTGTCGTCATTTTCGCCGGCCACATCCGCATTGATGTTCTTTCTATCGTCAGGGGATTTATAGTTTACTTTCGACCAGTTTTTACGATTTTCTTCATCTTCTGAGTAATATTCACCATCATTAGCTTTGAACATTTTGGCTCTGTCTAACTTTGGACGGTGAGACTCATCTTTGTTTTTCAGTTCTCGATCCAAGATATTCTGGTCTGGGTGACGACCGTTTACGTCTTCGAGCGAACTGCGACGGTGGCGGCCGACGTCGTTTTTAGGAACATCTTTGTCACCGTCTACAACGTCTCCAGGAAAAACATCTTTTTCTCCGTGATATTCAGTCCGTCTTGCTGGTCGTTCCCCCTCCTCACCCGAACGGCGACTTTTTTCCTGCCTCTGGACAATCGCGGAATTTATTTCCATTTTTCTCTCATTACGTCCTGTACTTCCTGTTGTAAATTCCCCTCGTTCCAGTTTACGAAGAGCGTCTTTGTCACGTAATGGATGCCGTGTGTTGTCATCCAGGCGTCTTGCATTAACTTCTCGCTCAAGATCTTCATTTGGATTCTGACGAGCGAGAATATTCTTGTCAGAAATGTTGCCTCTTTCCTTTAAATGTAAATCGATTTTCAGTAAATCTTGAAATTTATCTCGTCTGCTTCTGGAAAGGGGCTTTTTAATGCTTTCTTTAAATACATTTTCTGATGCTTGACGTTCTTTCCTTGATAGCTCATGTCTCCATACATATTTGAGCCTCTTATCTTCAGGAAGTGAACGCTTAATTTGTTCATTATAATGGAAGCCCATTGATAAATTAACTCTATTATGATCATCGTCTACTGAAATTTGAGCAAAGTCATCACCAACATTTACATCACTATTATCATCGCTGCTCTGAGCAACACTGGACGCGCTACGTTTGGAAGAATCAATTAAAGGTATATCCTCGGGATCTGGATACTTTTTTTCAATTTTACCGGTTTTAATTCCGCGGCGTCCTCGTTTAGGCTCGTAAGAATGATTATCTTCAGACTCCTTTGAGTATTTGCCTGCGTTTTGCTTCAAGGTTTGGTGAGCGGGAACGCGAACATCTAACGTCACCCACACGTACTCACCGTTGAACATCCCATCCTTTACTCCACACTGAACAACCGAAGTCACAAAATCCCAGCTACCGGCTACAAACAACATCTTTTTGCCCGTAATCTTCACATTTTCTAATTTGTAACACGGGAAATTGCTAGGCGTCGAACTAAAGGATATCGGGAGCGCAACTGGAGGTAGAACGCCCTCGAGGGAGGCACCGTCTTCTTTGAAATTACCGGCCTTAAAGTTAGGATCTGCTGCAATATTCTCATCGTGACCCGTTTTCTGAGAACTATCCCATGAGCCCGCAAACTCTACGGAGGTCTTGAGCCAATTTTTGTCGTACCCAACTAAGGGATCCAAAAGATTTTCGTGTGTATATTCCTTACCCATATATTGGCGTCGACGCGGGGGAAATTGATTATATTTAACGTCCTGAGCAATTAAGGACATAGGGGAATGTGAGAGGAGGACGGGTGGCTGCAAAGCGGGATTGTTTGTAGCAGCGTGTACGATATTTAAAGCGTGTGGGGAAGAATCGTGTATTAAGAAAGCGCCGTAGAGCCGCAACGACACGCTCAAGGAAACGGCGGCCAACCATAACGCGTCCATGTCTGGGTCCGCAGAAACCACTACTGGGAACAGCTCCTGCAACAAGCAATAATGGCATCAAGTTAGCAAGGTAATAGGGAGGTCCCTGTAACACAACACATTGTTGGTTCCTTAAACGACGGACAATTTATAGAGGCTTTTATGACTCAACCATAATGGTACATATATGGCGGCACTATAAATATTACGCTAATATGAAAGAATGAGTTGAGTAAAATTAGCAGTACATATAGGGAGACAAATTTATACCTATATCCAAATACTATTTAATAGAAAAAAATAGAATAGAGAGAAAGGTCCCTTTCGTCAATAGAGAGCCCTTTCGTCATCCAGAAGAAGACTGCAGAAGATCAAACACTATCGTATTCAAAAAGAAATAAAATAAAATTAAAACTATTCGACCTTCCAAAAATGTACAACTAAGAGTTTAAACACTGTAGTCTTCAAAAAAGTGCGAAATTAGAAGAAATCACCTTCCAAAAAGAACACTAAAATAGAAAGCAATCGCCTTCAAAATCAGTGTCACCTTCTGAAAAAGAACACTAAAATTATAAGACTGTCGCCTGCCAAAAACACACTAAAATTAGAACACTGTTGCAAGGAAAAGCGGCCTCCGAATCTATAGCTTTCCATTAGCAGCCTGATGACATCGTCATCTATGTTGAGATGACATTCTGCATCCCACTTACCAATGTCATCTCCGGCCGGACGCACGAAACGTATTACGATGATAGGAATTGGTGAGTTACCCATAAATTCAGGTTTTACGCCAGCGATCGACGAGTTCCGTATGAGCAGTCATCGGTGAGGGGGCTACAAGATGATCTTCTTATCTCAAGAACTACGGCCAAACTAAGCGTGTATTTAAAAGATAAGAAGGGGCCCATTTAATATTTTTTAACCTGTATGGAAGTTGTTTGCGAGTTAATCTATTGCACTAAAAAACTGAAAAAATATAACTCAGTACTCACTGCTGTGAGTGACAGAGAGCGCATTTTCTCGTCAAAGAAAACTTGAGGTCACGGACAGATGGACGGACAGACAGACGGACATGGCGAGCACAATGGTGCATTTTTTCCATAAATGAGAAAATGCGCTAAAAATCCTAAGAAAAACAGATCAAACACTCACTATCTGCAGACCACCGATCACGAACAAATAACGCATAGTTTTTGATAAGTCCTAAACAAATTACTAAAATTGATTAAAGAGGTTATTTAAAGGACATAAAAATCGTATCAAAGAGTTATGATATCTGGCTTTCAGTAGAATGATCTAAAAATTGTTTCATCGGAATGAACACGAGTGAATAGCCACATTTTAAAATAAGCAGTTTAAAATTTCTGAGAAATTATGATATATATTTTATATATGATATTCGTTTTACTTGAAATTATGACAATCAGAATAGACATGAATCATTGTGCAACCGGAAGATAACAAGCCTATTTTTAATTTTAATTATAACAAAATTTGCACGTTAGATAGAAAAATTAAGTGAATAAAAAAATATAACTCAGTACTCACTGCAGTGAGTGACAAAGAGCGCATTTACTCGTCGACGAAAACTTGAGGTCACGGACAGACGGACGGACAGACGGACGGACAGACGGACAGACAGACAGACAGACAGACGGACGGACGGACATGGCGAGCACAGTAGTGCATTTTTCCATAAATGAGAAAATGCGCCAAAAATAGAGAACAGGGAACCAGCAGATGAATTATTTTCATAGTATATACCTAAAATAATTGAAAAAATTCAATTTTTCAGATTTCAGCTAAGAAAATCACTTTATTTATTTTACAAAAAATTATTTCTGCAAACGTAGCCGCTTGCTTGAAAAACCACTTCGTCTAATAATATAATCAAACCTGGTGAAGACACCAACCCTTCAGGAAGCATACGTTGAAAAACGTTTATTACAAGTAGATTTCGTTGAAATGACGTTTAATCAACGTTATTTTTTTTACCTTGGCCAAATAATGTTTAATCAAATTTATTTTCTTACTGGTGTAGCTTTTTTTGCCTAAGGACACTCGTTATGACACACGGGCCACTTGCACTCATAACTTTTAACTGAATTAAAAGTTTTAATTATATTTTCAATATTATTTAAAATATGAACAGAATAGCAGCGCCTCAAGTTTACAAATTTATTTACTGCATGGATTTTTTTCATGAAGCTCTCACTGCCAAACTGAATTAAGAAGGTCAAGGGCGCCAACAAGCTCATAGTAATCATTCCATTAATCGTGATAATCGCGTCCTTAATGACGTCACCATCTCCTTGATTGGGCCGGTCCTTGGTCCTACAATAAAGGCTGATTTGGACCCTCCACGGACAGACTGAGCCCCAGATTATCCCGTGTTAATCCGTCACGTGGGATCACGCAGGACCGAAAATCAGATATTTTCCGTCGGCCGATTGCTCTCCTAAAATATCCTGCGTGGGCGAACGAAGTATCCATTATAGGAGTGTTTTGGACGGTCGACCTTTTGGTATTCAGTGCCTCCAAAATGCCGACCAAGATTTTCATCGAGGATTTCACAATTTCGTTTTACCAGTGAATTCGCATATGTAGAAGCAAAGTTCAAAATCCCTCATTAGTTAGCGCCATTATATAAGGTTTCTGCTCGCGAAAATTAAAATGAATTGATTTATTTGTTGAAACGGTTATATTAAATAGCCACTAAGAAATTACAATTCAGATGAAAGCAAACATAGCACATGTAGCAACATTTATACACCTACTAACGCCCGATATATGGCATGTTATTTGAAATGCTGACAAACTTCAAAAGTGTGTGTGCAGTATTTCTGGAATAATCTAGTTTTTATAATGAAAATATAACATTGAATAAGCGACAACAAAAAATCCATGAATACAAATCACTCAAGTCAAGGTGCAGGTTGCAACTAGATGGTATATGTCTATTAAATTGCGTGAACATTGCAAACCACTGGGAAATCATACTGTATAATATAAATGGCGATTGAATGCTAAAAAATGAATGTATTGGAAAACTCGCGTAGGTGTTGCTTCCAATACCCTTTGGTAAGGGAGAGGAAAGCGATCCTTTAAAATTCCATCTCAGATTATCAACAGCGATACAAAACATTTCTTTTTAGATTGCATCATAAATAACTATTTGCTAAACACATTTACCTTCAAGCCGGCGACAACGACTTAACAGATTTGAATTTGACTTAAAATGCAACTACATAATCCTTTTTTTCCTAACGCATGCACTTCTGAATCATGATTGGAAGTTAATTTTTTCTTTACCATTTTACATCAATGCAGAGAACTTTATTTCCCAGCTACGAGCGCTTAGCTGTTCAAGTCACCATCGTTGAAGAGTATTTAACAACAAAATGTCCCAGGCATCATAAATTACACAAAGGAATAGTTTTTTCGATCGTTGATCGAACCTGTATCATAGCCGCCGAGTTTGGACAAAGTTACTATTACATAATAGGTAGTTGGCGCCATTGACCTTCCCAATTCTGTTTGGTAGTGAGAGCTTCATATTGAAAAATATTCATGCTCAAATACTAAAATTTCTATAGGAAAATACAAAAGGCTACTAATATTTTTCTAAAAATATACTATAAGCAACTAAAATTCTTTTAAACCAATACGAAAGCTACCACAGTAAATAATTTGGAGTTCGATAACTACATAGTAACAACAAGCAGACTTGAAAGCCGCGCTTCGGTTTTGTTCAGAAAATTGACCGTTCATATTAAAGGCCAACAACATAAGAGCAGTGGAATTTGAAACCAAACTACTCGAACCAATCCAATTTTGCAGTTCGCTCACACTACCATAGTTAGCAACTGTAAAAACAAGGGAATTATATAGTCGGCCACTGCAATGGAGAAAACGTATTCTATATACGGCAC